TACTCTTCTTAAGGAAGTATCTTTTCCTGAAACAGTTTTGCTCTTTTCAAGATCGCTTACAGCAAGTAATTGGAATGATTAATTAACCACAACATCTAAAAGAAATGCTTACAGCTGTTGATGGTGAAGACCAACAGTGCAAAGCAGCACCGGCATGTAAAGCATCGACAGAACTTGACTTGAAAGGAAGTCTAGCGATATCAGCTGGACCAAGGTCACTTTCCTATGAACAAACATAAAGAATGAAGATCAGCGGCAACATCTCCAATTTAAGTTATAAACGTTTAAAACTCAACTTATGTACTCTTTTGGGAAGTTTTCCTCCTCCTTGATGAATTCATAGCATTGCCGCAGCATTTTGTCCGAGTAGTCCAGAGCGATAACCTGAGAAAATAATCCACCCTTGGCGAAAAGTCTGGAGAACATCCCACTACCACAGCTAGCATCAACAATAGTTCCACCAAGAACTGGCTTTAAGTAATCCTTAGCCATATCAAACTGCCATGAAAATCATTAGTTACTTAGTGACTCCAAATTGCTAGCAAAGAGTATGAAACAACAACAGCATGAATAGGGGAAAAACTACTGTAAATATTATCCCATATCAATCGCATTAACTGCAGGATGGTTATCATTCCAGAAAAACTGTAGGATGATTAGAAATTGATGTTTTGTGTATGTTAGCATTTCAAATGTTGTATTCTCAAAGAGAGTTCCTTCAGTACAAATTACAGATAAACAGACTTCATTCCAAAGGGACATCCACACAAGGTCGAGATATAACACTTAAAGTTTCAAGCTTCGGATCCCAAAATGATGTTTCGGATATAGATATGTTTCGATAAGTATTCAGACATAACTTCATAATTCTTACTGATGAACACGAAAATATAAGTTTTCATCTTACCTCTTTCTCGGGACCTGGAAAGCCACCAAATATAAAGTTTTGACGCCAACCCCTCTCATAGAGAAACGAAACCATCGGAGTCCTGCTTAAGAAAATGACCAATAGACAATAGATAAGCAAGTTAACAGCAAAACAAGCGTCGGACATAGCATCAAGCACTATAATGAAAATAGCATCGGCATGAGAACATGAAAATGGTCTACAGGGTACACTTTAAAAGCAGATCAATATATTTTTTTATGACTTCATGGTTATTACAATTTTATAATCAGAGAAAGGAGAGAAATCATGTAGCCCCACCAAAGACTCACTAGATTAATCAAACGAATAAAGCTCTCATTTTCAATCTCCTATGATCAGTAGATATCCATTCAATTTGAACTCACAAATGCAAATGCTAAACAACACTATCCAAAACGATAAAAACTGAAAGGAATAGAAGAGACTGACCTGAACACTTCAGTAGCCAGTGGCATGGATTCATACTGCTTGGACCCGCTAGAAGCAACGAGGTCGAGATGCGTTTCGTTGCCGAAATAAGCCTTTTTGCAAGTGTTACATTGCAAATTAGACCCAGATGTCGATCCACTGTTCCATTCAAAAACACTAAATTAGTTCACACGCAACTCGAAATTGAAACATATCATTTTGAAAAGAGAAAACCAGCATGAACTGACACGCATAAAGGGGAGTCACCGATTCGGGTTAATGGATCATAACAAATAGGACAAGCTAGAATGTTATCACTGCCACTTTGCTCTTTCCCCTCCACAACAGGCCCTAAAATATTTACCAAGCAAAAAGAATAATAACAATTATAAGAAAGAAGGATGAATAAAAAAACTTGAGCAAAAGGAGAATATTTTACCGTAGGCTGGGTTTCAACAAATGCAGTAGAAGAAAGGCCAACTTTGGGCGTTAAACTTGTTGTGAAGACGGGAACAGTGAAGGGTCTTAACAAGAAACGGTCCGGGTTTCTCTCGAGTTGAGTGGGGAAAAACGAGGGTCTGAAATTACTGGTAATAACTGACGACATGTTTTCTCTTGTGTTGATCGTTTTGCTTTTTCCTATGGCTGAGAGGGACAAATGGGTAGCTATGTCGAAGATGAGGGGAATTTAAGAAATGCCTGAAATTTAAGAAAGAGATTATGAGTTAGTGAGAGGGAGTAGATATTATTTTTTTTGTCTATTTTCGGCTGGCTGGGCTCGGCCATCGAATGCTCCACCTTTTCCACCTGAAACAGCACCAAATAGGCTTTGTCTTGCCTTTGTTTTTTAAACTAAAAAAATAGTTGAAATCGGACATCTAAACGGTAGAATATCCTACAGTTACCCTATCAAATCTTTACAAATATATAAAAGCGTTGAATGCAATTGCTTGATTACGGACGGAGGCATGAGCCCTTGAGGGCACATTATTAGTCCCCATTAAATCAATTTCAACGATAATAGTATTTATTTGGGTAAACTACAAATTTAGTATTTAAACTATTGTTTTTTTAAAATTATATCTAACATCTAGTTTAAGTTTCAATTTGATATTCCGTTGTTAAAAAATTAATAGAATTATTGACGTGATATTTTTTTAGAATTTTCTCAATGATGATATGACATTATATGGTGACATATCAACATCGTCGTTAAGATTTTAGTGACAGGATACCAAATTGAAACAAAAACTAAACCCGTATTTCTATTTGGTTATTAAACTTAGAGCTTTTAACAATTTACTCTAAAGAACACCCGTTTTCTTGTAAACGACTTTTTGCACCTTTTTACTTAATTTTTAGGTAAATTATTTTTTTGATTAACCAAATTTGATCGTATTTCTATTTGGTTATTAAACTTTAAAAATTTTAATTTCATCAATCAACTTTTGAATTTTGCTCTTTTTGATCATTCAACCTCTAGATATTTAACATTCTTTAATTATTTTTGGAAATTTATGCAAGAAAAAAACCAACCCTTAAACTTTTCCCTTAAACCCAACTATTTTGTCCTCATTTGATTCACCAACTTGAGAGTATTTCATTTTAAATCTAAATAGTGACGATGTTGATAAGGAGGAGCAAAGCAATATATATTGATTCCATACTGATTCAATATTTATGATTGTAGATCAAACCAAAAAAATTAATAACTTTTTGTTTGAGTTTTGTCAATTTCAAGAAAAATCAAGCTAAGAAGAGGAGGAAAGAAACGAGATTATTTTAGTACTAGTTATGTTACAAAGGATAGTCCATTGAAAAGAGAAGGTTAAAAGTTTAGGTCAAATTTAGCAATAAAAAGACAAATAAATGCAGCATTTTGTGATGGCATTAGACACTTAACGATCGAATGGCAAAAAAGAGCAAATTTCAAAAATTAAGTGATTAAATTAAAAAAATTAAAGCTCAATTATCAAAATAGATATACGAGAGAATTTGAGGGATCAAAATAATTGCTAACCCTTTTTTATTCTAGTGAAATGTTGTTTTATTTTTTATTGATAACAAATTGTTTTTATCTTCTGGAAAAAGAAAACAAATCGGTTTCTATTTGAAGAATGGTAAATAATTAAATATTAAAAATACTAACATAGAGCAACAAGCCCGTCTAGCTCAGTCGGTAGAGCGCAAGGTTCTTAACCTTGTGGTCGTGGGTTCGAGCCCCACGGTGAGCGACTTAATATTTTTCCTCCTCCATTCCCATGAATTCACATTCCAGTTTGTGGTCACACCCTTCAATGCTGACTTTTCTGGGAACTGATAATTATTATTTATACATTGGTGTGGACAGTATTTATTTATTTTTACTTTAATAAAACTACAAAACGCAGCAAGAAAACATTTGTGTCGTACAATAAGAAACATAAACTACAGCCTACAGGATGTTCCTCCTGCTACTACAATTAAGGTTTCTCCGGTGATATATGAAGCATCATCGGAGGCCAAGAATGCAGTTGCCGCCGCTATTTCATCAACCGTCCCAAGCCTTTTCAGTAATTTCATTTCCTCATACGTCTTCTTCTGCAACTCAGAATTCATTAACACACCAATCAAAACTCAAATTCCTAAATTAATTCACCAAAATATTTGCACTTGTGCATGATCTACTCACTGCATCTTCATTCCCTGTTACGTGTGCCGCAAAACGAGTTGGTATGAAACTAGGCGCAACACAATTCAGTCGAACATCCGGAGCCATCTCAGCCGCCAGAGCCTACCGAACAACACGAACAAATTACACAGTTATACATTCATACATACATGCATACATACCTTGGTCAGGCCAAGAAGGGCAGTCTTAGTGACCTCATACATAGAATCATATTTACTAAATTGTCCTAGTTATATTTATAACTTTATAGAATTATTAATTTATAATATTGAAGGGACCATAATTTATATAAGAGTCTTCTGACAAATTATTATCATATTAATTTATGAAAATTATTAATTTAGACATTGGACCCTAGTTGAGACCCCAAAATTTTTTTTTAGAGAGGTTATTAATTTATCAAAGCAAATATCAATTAAATCATATTTTATTAAATTATCCTAGTTATATTTATAATTTTATAGAATTATTTTATATATTAAAGTGACCATAAATTTATATAAGAGTCTTCTGGAAAGTTATTATCATATTAATTTATCGAAATTATTAATTTAAAATTTGGGCCTAAGTTGGGACCCAAAAAGAATATTATTTTAGAAAGATTATTAATTTATCAAGTATTAATTTATAGAGTTTCTACTATATATATCACAAGTGTATATACAAGTGGGTCAAAGATATACCTTTAAATTATTACTGTGTATATGGGATGAGGTCAATGTCTCAGCTGGAAAAAAAATCAGAAACTTTGAGGCCTGGGTTCAAATTTTCAGTATGCATAGATTAATTCATATAATGGTAGTTTTTTTTTTGTTGTCAATTTGTATACATAGTCTGGAAATTTAGGATATCCTCAAATCATTTGAGCTGCTCCACACTAAAAATCATGATCACAAACACAAATAGTATCAGTTCAACAAGGGGGTTAAAATCAAGAAGCTAATCAAAACAATTCCAAATATGTAGGACAATTATGAACTTACGCAAACAATATAATGATTAAATGGGGAACTAAGCAACAAAATTAAAATCTGAAACAGCCCAACCTTCACCAAGTTGGGACTGAAATTCACAAGATTACAGACAAAGAGAGCAATTAGCATATGTCCACAGCTCATGTTAACCCTAAAACATAATCCCCAAAACCACAATGGAAAGGTCCTATAATATAATCACACCCGACTAAAGATAAAACACCAGACACAGCAGAAGCAATATGATAGGTTAGAGAGCTAAGAAGTTAAACCAGAGAAATGCTGCTTTCACCGCCGGGGGGTTTGCGTACGCCGCCATAGTAGTCTCGAGACTCCACCTTCCCATCAGCAAAGATGTTACTGCCACTCATCTCCCTTAGTTTTAACGCACTGAGTGGTTTCTCGGAAGAACCTGGAGAACCATCACCCTTAAATATGTCATTTCCTGAAAGCTCAGCAAATTTCTGATTATGAATTTTCTTTGCTGTCTTAACCGCCGCCTCCTCATTTGACATGCTACTTCCAGCAGACTACAAAATAACACCCAAATTCAACCGGTTAGTTATCCAAATTTAAGGACTGATGCAAATGGTAATTGATTAATCACAAACATGGGTACTTAATGACTGCAAAAAGCAAACCTCAATAAGAACTGTGGAAGCTATGCTATGCATCTCTGTCCAGTACAGAGTGATAAATGTAAATCTACAACTTATTCCAAGCCTAACTATATGGACTCCTAGAGATCTTAAGTGCAATTCCTTACCCAAGTAATACATACAAAAAATGGCATACCATAAGACATATCCAACAACCCGTTAGAGTACATTGAGAAAATTCACCAAGTTAGGATTTAGGAGTTTCTACATGTACTTACATTACGTGTATCAGGTTCTCCCATATCAAAATTGTCCTTCAATGCCAATGCACGTACCATTGACCTGGGTAAAATTTCAGGTGGAGGCGCAAAGATGTCATGTCCACTGAGGTCCTTGCACTTTGCATCACAGAGTTGCTTCTTCAACTTTGCATCCTCGCTTTCTAGGGTTCCACTTAGCTCACGCTGCTTCGCCACCTCGGGTAGAGTAGTCGGCTTTTTGGGGGAAATACTCTCTTCCTCGGCAAATGAGATGTGACTAATTCCAGCTAGTGCTTGCTGACAGTGCCAAAGATCATAATATTTCAAGGAAACATTACTTGATACAAACGTATTATGATCAAATGTGTTATGCATACCTGGTACATTCGTAGTCCGGTTTTGCTGTTTGAAGAAGGATTAGCGCTGCCTTGTTCTGATTCATCGTTTTCTCCATTGGCAGCAAAAATCCCACTGCCAGTCATCTCCTTCATTTTATATCCAGAACAAGGTTTCCTGGAAATTGCAACAGATGAACAACCAGCATAAAACCAAATGAACAGGAATGAAGAAGATGCAAAATCGATCAATGCACAGATATTCCTTTTTTCATTCCACGCTTAAGGATTTATTGACTAGTCCTAACAAATCGTCAAATCCCCTTAAGGCCTTAACAATAAAGATAGAGACGAAGAAAACAATAATATAACAATTTTTGTACAGAATTACCGAGTTTCACTTAAGAATGCCAACAAACAAGCAAATAAAATAAAAGATGTGTAGATGTATATTAAAACCATCGAGCCTTGCAATTCGCAAAGCATTAGGAAGAAGTGAGAACATTGTATCAACGACATTTATTGGTCAGGTACATTCGAAATGTATACAGTTCGATCTCCTTCAACGGTCAGTACAGTTGGATCAGAACGGAGATCCGATGGATCATGGTCGTTAATCACGGATAATTGAACAATCAAACTTCAAAAGGTTCAAAATTACGCCCATATTTGAAGTCAAAATTTCCTTTGTTGTAAAAAAAAACTGCAATTTAGATCATAAAGACTAAAGAGCGATATTGGCAGCAACATTTTATTTATAAAAAAAAGGAAAAAGACAACGAAATTCTAGTAACAGCTCGAAGCTTATGAAAATGTATTTTTATATTAAAAAATTGAGCTAAAAATGTTTTCAGATAAATAAAAATGGAAAATGAAGATAAGCTCTATAAGGAAGAAAAGGAGGCCAAGTAGATCTCACCGTTTGTTTAAGCTTTCAAATTCTTCATCGGTCACTTGACCTCCAAACACCACTTTTCTGATCCCATCCGACGGCTGCCAATAAGTAAAAAAATCAAAAACACTAAATAAATGGCAGAAAAAAAATTTATTTAAAAAAAGAAGAAGAAGAAAGAACCTGGTGAGGGCGGGTGGAGCGAGGGGCGGAGGAATCGGGTTGAGGAGTTTCGGACCAAGTGAGAAGATCGGCAGTGGATGTGTGTGGCTTCCTCACAGGAGTGCTTCTCTCCATTTTCGTTTGTGTTTTTTTTTTCTTTAATTCAACTCTCAAAACTACCAACAAAAACAAGAATGCTTCTGATTAGATGGAAAAAGTGCCTTGGATTTGATTCCCCTGCAAAAACAACAACAACAACAAAAGGAGTTTTACGAGCTTTGAAAAACTGGATCTGAGAGAAATAAGGAACGTGCGTGTGGGTGGGTGTTGTACTTTCTGTGTCGAGTGGTGTTGAAATAATGGAGTGAGAGTGGTATAATTATAAGTTGTACTTTCTCTGGAGTCGAGTTTCTATCTCCTCTACCACTGGCTCTACTGGTTTTTGAATACATTCTACCGCCCTGTGTACTATGAATTTATTTTCTTTTCTAAATGCCCATGTGCTCTCCACTCATCTCTCTCTAAATCATCACTAAAAATGTCACTTTCATATTTACAAATTATTTAATTTAATTTTTATCTTATAAATTACATCCAAATTTCCATTAAAAAAGGTTATATAGTACTTTGAGAACATGCCATATGGCATAAATATATTAGTTTAAAAAATATGTTGTTTGTCGATTAATTTAACCAAGGCCAAAATAGGTTTAATCAATTAGAGTAATTAAAGATGGTATCAAATGGGACTATATTGATAATCACACATCAGTCGGAAGCAGATGGAAATGCTGGCTGAGATATCGAAACACAGAACAAAAATAGAAGTCTTAACACTATAAAACATCAGATTCAATCATGTTTAAATAGGAGAGATCGTCAAGTAACAGTCTGAAAAACATCTGATGAACAAATTGATACAACCCACATCACAAATCCCGGTACTACTACTACAAACGAGTTGGAAGCAGGTCACTCTTAACAGCAAGCCATCTCATACCTCGACACACCAGGTCTTAAATGAAAACTCTTCCGACCGATTAATTCTGCAGAGATAAGCAAGTTTATTTGTTGAAAGTGAAAGGAAAAAGTGAAAACGGTTAAGATTTGCAGCACTACAGAAATCTAACATGCCGGAGATAAAGCGAAGTCAGCCGTCAATCGATATTTCGAATTTTAACATTTGCTTACCTCTGCCTGAGGTTCATCATCTGCTTTTGATTGCTCACCTGGAAAGTCAAGTAACAAATTTGCAAAAAAAGAAAAGAAAAAAAGGAATGTATCAGTGGCAGTTGACAATAGAAATCACTAATACCGTAAGGTTAAGCATCTAGAAACTAAGCATTAATGTATGAAATGCAAATCATAACAATAGAAATGTGCACGGATGTATATATTGGCATACAAAATAAAAGACATTACCTCCTTCTGGCAGATCCGAGGTCCATAAAGTCAGATTATCCCTGAGAAGCTGCATAATAAGGGTGCTATCCTTGTAAGATTCTTCATTGACACTATCAAGCTCTGCAATAGCCTCATCAAATGCTTGTTTAGCCAGATGGCAAGCCCTGCTCAGATATTGCTCACATTAGATTGACACTAGCTGCTAAAGTGGAACTCGTATTAATAGCTTTGTGCTCCAGCTATAATTATTTAATAAGTAAACATCAAACAATATCTATCGAAGAAACTATTTCTGAAATTGGCACTAAATGAATGGAAACAGTTGTGTTGCCATCATTTGCCCCAAATGAAAGAAAATTTTGAAGTGGATTACATGTATGTATTGGACTAGAGTGAGAGAGACGCATCCTAACCTCTCGGGAGAATTTACAATCTCATAGTAAAAAACAGAGAAGTTCAAAGCCAGGCCAAGTCTAATTGGGTGAGTTGGAGGCAAATCAGTGTTTGCAGTGGAGGTGGCAGCCTACAATATAAACAATAAATATTGCGCAAATATGAAATCAAAATAGGAGAGGTGGCTGATAAAAGCTAGAAAAACAAAAGGTATAGCAAAAAAGAGCAATGTCATGGACACTTTCACACACCTCATATGCCTTTCGCGACTGATCAGCAGCTTCTTTACGATCATCTCCTGATTTAAATTCTGCCAAATAACGAAAATAGTCTCCTTTCCTGGTAAAAAGGAAAGGCAACAAATAAGAAAATATGCACAACTACTGCCTATATGAACACAGAGGCAAGAGAAATAATCCGCACATCTTATAGTAGAAAACTGTTGATTCCCCTGTTGAGGAAGATGGGATGAGGTGCTCATCAATGACAGATAATATATCATAACAGATCTTTGCAAGCTCATCTTCAACCTTTTGCCTGTACTCCTTTATCCTCTTCACATTTTGCTCATTACCCTTCGACTCCTCTTTCTGCTCAATTGAAGACAGTATCCGCCATGATGCCCTTCGTGCTCCGATTACATTCTTATATCCCACAGATAACAGATTCCTCTCCTCCACAGTCAGCTCAACATCCAACTTAGCAACACTCTTCATGGCCTCGACCATCTCTACAATATAAAGATCTTTCACAATTCAAAACAGATTTCAAAAATGTAAACGAATTTCTAACGAACTAGTAGATAAATCCCAACAATGTTCCAACTATAGCTCCCCTCCCTCAGTTCGTTTTTTAAGAGAGGCTATTAGGGATTGGGTCGTAATCGCTTGAGCTAAAATTATTTTGTTTATTTAGAAGTTGTTAAAAAGTAAAAGCAAATATCATAAAATAAAGTATTGAAAATGAGCAATTTGTGTTCTTCCACCGAGTTTGAATTTTACTTGGTCAATAAATACATTTTATTTTGTATCAAATCACAATTTTTGTTCCTGGGTAAGCTAATCATGACTTCTTTACTACCCATATACTACTACTAAAAAAACATTAGCGAAAGAAAAATTAACAGATTCAGTTTCAATCCCCAACTCCATTACATTATCATCAAATCCGAACTAAATCCTATACTACAGTCCATATACATCAGATCATTACCAAAAGAAAGTAACAACGCAAAAAACTTACAAAGTAATCAGAGAAATACAGGATTTAAAAATACATCATCCATATATTGAAAAAAAATCATGAATAAAAACATAGATCCTAGAAAGCATGAAAAAAATTCAAATAATCTCAGAAAGGAACTTTAAAAAAAAAAAGTTAAAAATGTACCGTCATATCTTTCAGCTTGCTCAGCTAGTTTTGCCAAGTAAACTTGCTGCTCTCTTTCCTTCTCCATCGTTTCTTTCTTACTTTTTCCCGAGGCTTCGGGTCTCTATGAATCTTTGGTCTTTAGATTTTGCAGTTGTAGCAGAGCTGTGGGAGCAAGGAGGAAGGTAAACTGCCTTTTAGGAATGCCGTACTTCGTTTTCTGACCGTTGGATGATGTTCTCTTCGTAGGGAGAATCGACGGACCAAATTGAGTTCTTTGTGGGGACTCTGAAATGGGAAAAAAAAGAGTCGAAATGTTTGGTGCGGGAGAGGGCGGAATCAGAGCGGTTCATCTGAAGTCTTTAACTGAAATATTGGCCGTTGGATTGAATATTGTGATCAGATGGAGAGTAGGGACGGTGACTCGGACCACGACTGATTGTAGTTCGCTGGGGTCCACAGACATTTTGCTGTTTTGTCAGGTTGGTTGTTTCCACAAATTTTACTGCAGCTAGTCCTTATTTTCCATGTCATTAAAGAAAATTTTTACGCTATTTCGAAAATTACGATGCGAAATTAATATAATTTTCTTAAAATCGCAATTTTTTTTTAAAGTAATTTTGATTTTTTTCAATATCTAATATGATATTTGATGGAACAATTGTGACATAATTATAGACTTTTTGTACTTTTTTATTTGAGTGAAGAATCATATTCGATGATTATAAGATTATTGATAATCGTCAAAATTCTTTATAATATGACATACATAATTGATGTGATCAACTTAATTACTTTTGATTTTTAATAGATCATACATGTTTATCGGCGGTCACATCATGATATCATCTAATAGATTATTTTTAGCACTATTTCAGGGCAATGACAAATTTACAAAAATATCTTTACACTTAAACATGTTATATAGGATTTCATCGTTTAAATTCGTGTAACCCGCAATATAGTTGCATTGTTAACTTTTACAAGAATTGAACGAACGATTTCTAGACCGGATGGAGTTGTCTCCAAACTTGTATTTGTACCGCATGGACAGTTCTTAACGCTTTCATTTGTCAAAGTCCATAGTTTGAACGTTTTCTTTGTCTTAATCTTTATAAAAATGAAATAGGTAAATTTTAGATTAGGCGTAATTATTTCTACGCATTATGTAAAGGATTTTCAACGTTTCGTTGAGATGCCCAGACGATAGTAATATCTTAACACTTTACGAAGGCCGACGATAGATTCCTATAACTTTAGCATAGGCATTTCAACTCTGTTAGGCTAATAGAGATGTCATTGTATGATCTTCATAAAAAGTTTCACTTTTTTAAGAGCATTGAATAAGTAAATCTAGATAACTAGAATTAATTCTTTTTTCTTATAAAAATCTCCTTAATTTTTAATGCTAATTTTAGTGGTCTGTTTATTTCATCTAGTGAGAGTGTAATTAGATCCTATAGGGTTTGGTTTAATAGGATTTGAAGTTCATCACACCAACACCCATTGAGATTGTGAGAATTGTGCAAGTCAATATAACTAATTGTCAAGATTTTCAAGCCCTAAATAAATAATTCCTCTCTCCCGTTAAATTTGTCCATGATTATTTTTTATTAATTTTTAATTTCGACTCATTATTATTTAAAATTTATTATTCATAAAGACAAAAAAAAAATTAAAAACCTTCAATCAAATAATATTTAAACATATATTTTATAAAATTTAATTATTTTAAATATATATTTTATAAAATTTAATTATTTTATATACTTAAAATAATCAAGATCAAAGTTTAAAAATTTAAATTTTTAAAAAGCTAATAATACACAGATTTAGTAAGATGAAGGGAATAATATATTACATGGAATTCAGGTCTACTATTATTTAACAAAAAGTTGCAACATGCTTTAAAGAAGCCAAGTAACAGCTTCATTAACAGTGGAACTCATTGCGGTTCTTGGAAGTAGCCTATTCACAAGTTGCAGTGCCGCTTTATGTGTAAACATGTATTCTAGATCATATCAACAAATGATAAATAACTAGTGCATGGTCAATATAACATAGCATAATTCAAATTAATACTCAATCTGGTGTATGAACTCGTGAAACAAAAGGGATCCTGCTTCCCGGAGATGGTAGCCAAACATTGCATAGGAAACAAATATACCTATAACACCAGCAAAAGAGTTAGTGACATCCGGTTGTAGACACAGCACTGCTTGTGTTGGCATCGCCGATTGAAACAGTTGCAAGGGATTTAGAGGCCCATGCTCTAGCATTCATTGCGCCTTGCAAATTGCTTCTCTTGCAAGGTTCCTTCAGGGAATTAATCAGTTGAATCACTCGTTTCAGATATGCCACGGGATGTTCCAACAAAGCCCCAAATTTCACATTTCGGATAAACCGTCCCCAAGATAGCTGTGCAGTTACAAGCAAAGTTGGATACAACAAGTAAAGCAATCTTAAAAGCACAAAAGTGGTGGCCAGAGCCAAATATGTCTCTTGTCGAAGTAAATTCTCCAGAGATCTTGCCCACGGGAATGGACAGCTTTCCTGCTCAGTGCTATTATGCTTCTCATGATTTGATGAGTGTCTGATTTTGTCCAGTGATATTTTATCCAGAGAGTTCTTAATGCCTAGAACAATGTAACAAATTCATTAAGGAAAACAAAGGGGGAAAAGTTTCAGCTATGCTAAATGGCCATGCAAATATGTTAGGTATGCTTTTCATAAGACTCCGGATGTATAATATTATTAAACACCATCAAACTTTGTTTTCACTCAAATTCCCTGTCCTGGAAATGAATGAATGACAGATTACCATTACTTGATGGGGAACATGTTTGAATGGGGCATGAAAGAAGGTAAAAAACTCTAAATCATTAAAGCCCTCAAAAACAAGGGGAAAAAACTCCTTAAGGAAGTGTTTACTATGGAAAGCAGGATCATAGAATATCATTAAAGCCTGCACAAACGACTGTCTTATGATCCTACTGAATTCATAATCTTATGCACTACCCCCCCCCCCCCAAAAGCACAAAACACAAAAAAAGGGAGCGTTATCAATTGAGCACCAGACAGGTGATCACCGGCTAGAACTAGAAAGCATTTTTAACTAAAGTAAACAAAAAGTACATTAAAGGTATGTCATTAGTCAAAACATATGAACATACCCGGTCTCCACTTTATATCTACTAAATAAATCAACTCAATGAAACATAGATATCACAGAAGTTCATGAATTGCAGAACAAAGGCCTTACCAGTGACATCACCATAGAATGCACTGAGAGATTCCAGAGAACGGTTTCCATGATAAAGTGCACGCATTGTGGAATTTAAAAGGAAAAGAGTAGGAAACCCGTGAACTCCATACTTTGAGAGTATGCTGAAGAAATCAAAATCCAACAGTTTAGTTTAACAAGATATACATACTCATGGCAAGCATATAACAAATGAAAGAAATTCATTTGCAAACCTTGGCCTGACAGCTGCCTCTTCTATATCAAAATGAGGAATAGAAGGATACGAAGAAGAAAGGATATTGAAGCTTGGTCTAAAAGACCTTGAAAAGGGGCACCAAGATGCATAGAAAAGCACAGCTACATATTCATGGCTGTTCTTGTAAACCATATTAAGCGCCCTTTGCAATGAAACCTCATCTCCCTTCACCGAACAAAAGAAAAAGTGTAAATAAAATTTTCACAGACAAAAAGTAAAATCATGATTCAACGCAATTTCTAATATGAATTTAGTTAAAAAACGTTAGTTCCTTTAGACCTAATGCAATGAACTGATAGAAATAAATAAATAAATAAATAAATAAATAAATAAAAGCTTAAAGAAATTTAAGATATCTCCAATTCCATCAAGATCAATGGAGAACTAATCCAGAGAATTTATACAAAAATGCAAAACTGAATGATCTCTTTTTTGTGATCACATATTTGTAAGCTCATACATGATAATTAGCGTATTTTGTCTCATCTTGAGAAATTATGCTTCCACTTTTCTAAAGCAAATTTTACATTTTTAAGCAACCAAAATGAAAAACCCTAAATACATTCCCTTTTTTCTTATTACTTATCAGCTTATAACTAAATAAAAAGGTTTCTAGCTATTAATTTCTAAAAATCTAGTTCAGAATATAGCACCAAACCAGCCAAAAAAGGAGATAATTTTCAAAGGAATGGATAAAGTGAATAAAAATTGAAAGGAAATACAGAATCTGAAGGTACCTCGGTAAAGCCAAGGAAGTCGATAGATTCAACATCAGCAAAGGTAATAGGACAATAGGAGTCTCGGGAATCAAAGATCGCGTCGGAAACGGAGACCTTGGGACAGAACGGAACCCTAAAGGGTACGAAGACGGCGCACGTTAGCCTCCACCAGAAAACCAATATCAGCAACCTCGTTTGCCATGCCTTCGTACCCATCAACTACCGACAACAATGGTTTGCCAATTGACACGAATTCTTTTTTTTTTTTTTTTTTTTTGAGAAAATCACCTCAGTGACTAAAAATATTTTATAATATACGATTTTAATCAATTTTTTTTAAATTTACCAAAATGATCAACAAAATCGCAATGCGAAATAAAAATCGTAACGCGATCTCCAGAATCGTAAATCAGTTCCCAGAATCGCAACGCGATTATAAAGAATCGCAATGCGATAGTACAAATTCGCATTGCGATTTTCCAGAATCACAACGCGAATATGAAAATCGCAACGCGAACATATAAATCGTAACGCGATTCTGACTATCGCAACGAGTATCCGTAAAATCACAACGCGTATCCGTAAATCGCAACGACAATACGTAAAATCGCAACGTATATCCATAAATCGCAACGAGAATACGTAAATCGCAACGCGAATCTGTAAATCGCAACGAGAATACGTAAAATCGCAACGCGTATCCGTAAATCGCAACGCGATCGATAATTCGCAACGCGATCTCCGGTATCGCAAATTAGTTTCCAGATTCGCAACGCGATTCTGACTATCGCATTGCGATTTCCCAAATTCGCGTTGCGATTTTCCTAATTCGCAATGAGAATACGTATTGCGATTTCCCAAATTCGCGTTGCGATTTTCCTAATTCGCAATGCGAATACGTAAATCGCAACGCGATTACGTAAATCGCAACGCGAATCTGTAAATCGCAACGAGATTCTGACTATCGCAATACTGAATTTCAAATTCGCAACTTGATTTCTGAATTCGCAACTTGATTTCTGAATTCGCAACAGGTTTTAATTTCACAACACAAATGTTTTGGGTATATAACTACGCAGCAGCAGCAACTCATAACCTAAATCCCTAAATCGCAACTCATTACATCTCCATCTATCACTCTCTCCGGCGACATCCGTTCCTATATCCAACGACATCCTTCCCCATCCAGCAACAGGTTTTAGTTTCGCAGCTCGTTTGTTTAGTAAATTAATTTACAATAATGAAATCATCTAATGTTGATCATGTTTGGATAGATTTGTGTTTTGGAGGGTCATGGGAGAATGTTCATGGTGTTTTACAATATATGCCTTTACCCATGAATCTTCAACTAAAACTGTCATTAAAAAAGTTAACTTATGAAACTCTAATGTTACGTGTTGCAAATAAATTGAATTTAGAGCCCCTAAGTGGATTTAGGCTATCTTATCAGAGAAATGGTAAAGTTTATTTGTTAACCGACAATGAAGATGTTGAACGATTCATTGCTTACATTAGTGTTTCAAGTGATGATGTTACATTGTATGTTGTTGAACCTAGAAGTAGTAAAGTTGGGTCAGTAGCGGGTAGTAATCAACTAAGTTTTTCAACCCCAGTTTATGGTGCTCAAAATTTAATGGTTCCACCACAATTTCATCACCAAGCAAATATTGTTTCACCACATTTCCAATACCAAACACAATCTCAAAACCCACAACCTTTCCCTAATCCAAATCTCAATCAACTTTCAGCACCAAATTCCGGTTTTCGTATTGACCAGTTAGACGATGATGAGCCAACATAAAAAATTGTGAGTATTAGTCAGTATTCGAAATTTGATCTTGGTCAATACCCGGACTTTGATCTTGGTCAATACTCGGATTTTGATGATTTTTCAGAAGAAGAAACAGACCCTGCGTGTAATGATTTTGATATTGGTCAATACCCGAATTTTGATGATGAAACAACCGTTGCCGAGGAAGATATTGTTGATGATAATGAGGAGGAAGTTACGACTGTAAATGAACATGTTGAACATCCATTCTGTAATTCATATAACACTGAAGAAGAAGAAGAAGAAGAAGAAGAAATCCCCAAAGAAAAGTCCCCGAAAAAAATGCCACGTGAGTATAACTGGAATATGCCAGAATTACTTCAGATACCAGAAGAAGAGTTGGTAAAGATAGCAGTTGATTGTTACACAAAAATTATTCGTATCAAGAAAGATGATTGTTTTGATATAAAGGAAGACTTGAAGATAGCTTTGTATACGAAATGTGTGGAAGATAGCTATCAACTAAAAGTTAACAAATCAAGCAAAGATCGTTTCGAAACAAGGTGTATGATTGACAAAAACTGTATGTGGCGTATGATTGCAAAGAGGATAAAAGATTGTGAAATGTTTCAAGTTAGGACTTTTATTGATAAACATACATGTTCAAGAACCCATGTTTTTCCTCACCATAGACAGTCAAACAAAAAGGTGTTGGGTGGTTTTCTGGCTGAGTTAATGTTTTTGAATGGTAGGGTATATCGGGGACATGAAATTATGACTGACATGAATGCTCGGTTCAAGATTAGTATCTCGTATTCTCAAGCTTGGAGAGCCAAATATTATGCCTTGGAATTGTTGAGGGGGTCGCCAGAAGCATCGTTTGCCCAACTGCCGGCTTATTGTCACAATTTAAAGCTGAAAAATCCTGGGTCGGTAACTCATATCAAAACAGATAGAGATGGACGCTTTGAGTTGCTGTTTATCGCCATTGGTGCTGCGGTTAGTAAATCAATATAATTTTGTTGACTCATTTTTGTTAGTTACATGCATTTCATATTTAAATGATTATATTTCTTGTGTATATGATTTTGTAGATTCGTTCATTTATTAATTGCATGCGCCCAGTTATTATAGTTGACGGAGCACATTTAAAAGGTCGATACCTTGGAGTAAACTTATTAGCAGTAGCCATGGATGCTGACAATGAGATACTGCCAATAGCTTACGGGGTTGACAAATCTGAAACATCTGATTCATGGATATGGTTTATGGGGCATCTTAGGGATTGCATAGGTCCTATTAGCAATCTGACAATCATATCCGATAGGGCAAACTCAATTGACAACGCTGTTAGAAGGTGTTTCTCATATGCTTTTCATGGACTTTGTGGTGTTCATTTGTATAGAAATCTAAAATCAAGGTCAGCTGGTATAAAAAATCACAAATGAACATACTGGAAGGCTGTAAAAGCTTATCGGGAAGTGGATTTTAATAAGCATATAAACTGTTTAAGATGTGTTTTACCTCAGTATGCTCAAACACTAGAAGATGTCGGGTTTGAAAGATGGTCAAGAGTACATCAACTTGGAGCAAGATATGGTTTCATGACGTCTAATAGTGCAGAATCAATCAACTCTCTAAGTCGTCATTCCCGGAAATTACCCATTACTATGTTAATGGAGTTTTTTCGAGCCTCTATTCAACAGTGGTACTACAAGAAAAGAAACCATGCAGGTATTATTTCTTTAAATTCGTAACTTATCATATATTTTACTAAGTATTATTTATTTAAATTTACAAGAACATTGGAACATCGTGTTACACCATGGACAGAAAAAAAGATAACGAAACGTGTTGTGAAGTCAACGTCATGGACAGTTGAACCATGTTCAAACACTTTGTTTGAAGTACTGGATAATAACTTAAATGGGCTTGTCGATCTAAATGCAAAGACGTGTAGTTGTATGAAATGGCAAACATCTGGTTATCCGTGTGGCCATGTTATAAAAGTTTATCTTCATCTAAACCAAGATGATTCAAGCGTATACGCTATGGATTGCTACACTACAGAAGTATATCGACAGACTTATGGCGAGATTGTCTACCATATTCCACATCCTTCTGAGTGGGACATACCAGATGACTTACAAACAGTTTTGCCACCAGCCATGGACAGAAGGCTACCTGGCCGACCAAAAAGTCACGATCGTATACCGTCTAAGGGTGAAGAGATCGACATGTAGTCGGTGCAAGGAAAATGGTCATACAAGGTTGACATGTGGATCACCAGTGCCATCACAATCATCTTTTCCTCTACCAAAATATGGATCCTCATCAAAATCTCAATCACAACCGGCTTCACCTTTTGGGACTGTTAACTTAGGTGATTTTTAAATGCAAACGTTGTATTATGTGTATATTATGTGTGAACTTTTAATATTTTCAGTTAGGCATGTATTAGTAACTTGAGTTTGAACATTGCTATGATAAGTTCAGTTGTTATCACTTATTAGACATTCATTTGACTATCGCAACGCGGAAATCGCAATGCGAATATGACTATCGCAACACGGAAATGACTATCGCAATGCGAAATTGACTATCGCAACGAGAGAATCGCAATGCGAAATGAAAATCGCAATGCGAAATGAAAATTGCAACGAGTGAATCGCAATGCGAAAATGAAAATCGCAACGCGAAATTAGTTTCGCGTTGCGATTTTCATTTTCGCATTGCGATTCACTCGTTGCGATTTTCATTTCGCATTGCGATTCTCTCGTTGCGATAGTCATTTCCGCGTTGCGATAGTCTGTTTTGCATTCAACATAACAAATCAACTATTACATTTCAATCAATTAAACAAGCACAAATATTATGTACACATCAATTAAACAAATCAACATTTGCAAATCATCTTTTACAAATCAATTAAACAATCAAATAATAATAATGAAATCAACTTTTGCACCCATACATCCATTTCACACAGCTCACTTCAGGATTAACCTGCAGAAACCAAACATTGAATCAACAACACTTTCTACACATCTAAAACCTACAAACAACAACTTATTGAATTCTAGCTACTTAACCAAACATTTTCAAACCAAAAAGAGTAAATATGTTTAACAACACTTGCATTTGACTTACAAATTGTTTATGGACACTTTCATAACGCGGATGCAGGTAGGCAGCGTCTCGCATATATCGCTCTAGCCATAAAATGCCGAAACCACAAGCCTACTGCACCTCTATCTCTATCAGTGGGAGGTAGAAAATGTGTACTTCCTGTCGTCAAACGCTCCAAGCACATGCATACGAGAGGACCACAATCCCCTCTGGCTTCCTTCGTTTGTTGTGGCACGGTCTCGTCTCTGATAACTGTAACATTGAACTTCTTTGGCTTCTTGTTTCTAGACTTAGTCCAATAATCAATTGCATCCAAGAATTTAGCCAAATGAGAGCTCCATCCCTTAATCATATCTCTCAAATCAGATTGACTGTGATTTTCCCGGAAAGAAGAAGGTCGTTGTGGTATTTCAAGAGCTGAGGCTCCTCTACCACTTCACCCAGTTTCCTTCCGACCAAACCGATTTGAAGCAACGAAAAAACAAGGAAAGCATTACAGAAACATCGAGTCACAAAAGAAACCATTTACTGATTTACAGAAGAAAAACTCTAAGCAACTGAGATAGCTCTGAGTTGAGGATTTTTTCCTGGGGTTAAATGAACTTAAGGAACCGGCTAAGAAACGGACAATAAATAAAGATGTCTTGGGGGCATTTCGAGTTGCAACTTCTCCAATAAGCTTGTGTTTTTTTAACCTTTTTTCTTAATTCACGCGCAATGAAATATTGGTAGGAAAAGAAAGCAGTGCACTAAGGTTGAGCGAAGTCTTTTTCGTCGCTAGAAAACAAAAAGCATTACAGCTTCGTCACAGTTAGCATAAACCGTTGAATTGACGTGAATAGCCTTGAATTTCTAATGGATAAGTAAGATGAAGATGAGGAATTGTGTAGGGTGGGGAGGTGAGAGTAGACGCGCCTTAAAAAGAGTCAAGCTCGTGAGGTGAGAAAAAGGTTGAGGTAATCCATATATGAACCCAAAATTTTATGTTAGAAGAAAAATTAAAAAAATAATTCATAATATTTTAAGAATTTTTTATTAAAAATATATAAAATATGAAATACAGCTATTGACTCGGTAGTGGTTCGCCAGGGCCAGCCTCTCCTTAGTTTCGTGGTTGGTGCATTTGGTGCAGGTGAACGTTGGTTAACTTAGTTTTGTTTTTTCAAGTTGGGATGCTAATTCCCTCGAGGGACGGAGTAAGATACTAACTTGGAGGAATAAAGTAGAAAGATAATTTATAATTATGTTACAAATATTCAAATTATATATATGAGTTAAACGTAAAAATTTGTGGGGTTTAAGGGACTATAACCCCACCCATGTACCAGATACATCCGTCCATGATTCTTTTCACATCGTATATTTTGTAAATGCATGGATACACCATTTCAACTTTTAGCTTTATCCGATTTCAATCCAATTTTGAGTCAATTTAAGTGTAATTTCTAATACTAAACTGTAGATTATGATGATTCACTTTTGAGGAAATTAAATAATTTAACAAAAATGATAAACTCATGAAACATAGGATTGAACTCAATTTAACTTGAATTTTTTTTAAAAAAAAATATAAAGTTAGAATTATCTAATTATTTATTTGAGTTCGACACTAATTTAAATACTAAAAAAGTATATAATAATTTTGATGTAAATATCCTTTAAATCTATCGATTTTATATAGCTTTATACAATGGGTACGATTAACCAATTATACCTAAAAGACTCCACAACATAAGAGGTCATAATTACCATACATTTCATTAATCACATTTTAATCATGCTTAACAAGTTCATAGGGACTGAAAGGAAAATGCACGCCACATTTCTCATACACTATGGCAATATGGCATCATGCAATATATATCCAACCGTGGCACAATTCATGGCAACATCATATCATGATCTCATGCATATCAATTCCTATCTCATCAACCCATGGCATGAGTACAATACACAGGCATGATTATACCCTGAGGACTCCATTCCCTCGTAATTATCCTTAGCATGAATACATATATGAACATAACATAGCATGAGGGTTAATCACAAAACCTAAATACTTCTTAATCTAGTAAGCACAAATAGAATGGCACTCACCTCAAAATCAACACACAAATACACCAAAAGATGAGCTCTTTTTCACTTTACTCTATCAATTTGGCCTTGCCTTTCACCTAGGAAGATCCCACTTGATCTTCACATTTCAAAGCTTCAATACAAACATATGTAACATATGTTACTTAAAAATAATGTAGAGGAGCTTCTAACATTACGTTTAGTTCGCGGAAAAAATCATTACTTAGGAGAATAATCTTTTCCGAAATTGTATTCTCGCGTTTGGTTTACAGAAAAGATTATTACCATTTAATAACTTATTACCAATAGTAATATTTTTAGTTAAAATTGTGGGAATGTTATTACCTCTAAATTCTTAGGTGTTACACAATTCACATTGCTTTGGACAAGAATATCCTTAGAATAATGAATTTGTTTCATATAGATCATTCTAAATTATTATTCTCCGTGTTTTACTCAAATTTATAAACATAATAATAATAATACACAAAGATATTGATTTAATAAAAAATCAATAAATTTGAGTAGTTAAAATTATTTTAAATTTTCAATATCGTACTCAAACTTATCGTAAATACTGATAAATATAGGATCACCATCATATTTTTCCTCAAGTTTAACAAAATTATCATTTTACCCCTCAAACTTCCAAGCTTTACTATTTTGTCCCAAAATTAAAACTCTCCTTTTTCACGTAACACTATTATTTTAAATTCATAGTAGCCCCATTATTATTTCACAATATAATAATAGACTCAATATTTCATAATATAATAATAGACTCAATATTTCATAACAATTAAATATCTTACTGAATCAGAATTGATATCAATAATTTTGAGATATTACAAAATCTACTCTAAACCCACTCAGTACCCTTGTTAAATATGATTGTTAATATTTGTATTGTTCGTCAATTTGATCGATAATGTTTTTTATAAAACTTAACTTCAATTTTTTTTTTGAATAAATCTTAAATTACATTCTTCAATAAATAGGTTGATTAATACATTATTTTTCTAACGATATTAACACAACAATCCACAAAACAAGTTATATGTATTTTATTTTAATATAAAATTGTTCATATTATATATTATATCAATTATATCTACATAAGTGGCATTATCAAAACAATAAAGAAATTATAAATAAATATACTAGGTTTTAATAATTCCATACCAATAAAAAAAATTAACTGGGGGACTACCCGAGGGAGGTAAATAAGAACCTTGTAATATGCCATTGCCATGTCCATCTCTTATACAGTTATACTCCCCACCACACGTTAATTATAATTTTCAACACTATAAATACATTTCCCTCCTTTTCCTTCTTTTCATCCCCAACCCCACAAATCATTCTCCGTTTCATCGGTTCATGGCTTCTTTTGCAACTTCCAAAGTTGTTTTCTTCCTCCTTTTCAATACAG